TCAGACCTATAAAGCTTCACATGGTCCAATGATTTTTTTTTTATTTCATAAAGTAGCAAACGAGTTCAACCTGATGTTAAGTGATAACCGCCTAAACATGGACATTTGGTAAACCCGTAGGGTTGCAGATGCGTTGCCACCTCTTAATAATGTGGGCCCCGGCTACTTCACTCGCCAGGCGAAACGCGGAAGTGCAACACTTCTACTTTACGCCGGTCTTCTGTGAGGTCGTGGTACTTACCCGGAGGGACCTGCCCATTCGTACAACAGTGAACATTGTTGCGTGTCCCTACCACGTGGGAACGTTGAAAGTGAAAACAAATCCCGATACAGAAAGGGATAAAAGAAGTGAAATCTTACACAAATCCCTAGAAAGATACAAGAAGACGTTTAAAATATCCAAGTAAAAGTGAGATGGCGGGTCGCGCGTGACGAAAGCGTGGCATCCGACTGGCCGACCTTGCTCCATCTTCACAAATGCAGGGATGCGCAACGCCTCTTGCTCAGAGTGGTTCCGTATCTATTCAGTACTTCTGTTGCGACGACGATAATTTATAACCTAAATGTTATGGTCACCAGTGACTCAAAGCGGAAGCAAACCAAACAGTAAAGTACGGGTATTATGTCCCACGGCTTAGCAAACGCCTCTCTATCTAAGGAGGTGTGTAACAAACTACAATTTAATATTAAAATAACAAACAAAACCAACTTATCGAGTGCCTAGAGAAACTGATTTTATTTAAACTAGTATCATCTTCGGGCCGCTATCCCACATAAGTGGGGTCTTCACATATCTGAATTTTGTTGTAAGTGGTTTTGGCTAGATTTTTTGCTCACAGTGTGACACAGGACAACTATTTGTGTAACCGTCACACAAATAGTTAATGTCAATGTTGCCATACACGCTAATGTCATTATGCGTAATGTGGACATTTTTTACCTTCGTTTGTTAATAATTTAAATGGTATATATATGTAGTTTTTTCGAAGTGAGATTGTTATTTGTGATAGAAAAATTTATGTGTTCTGTCTCTATTATATTACCACTACTAGTCTTTATGTTTCAACCAAAACTTCTTTTAAATTTGGAATTAGACAGTCCAATAACTTTGGTAGCCAGTGCCAATAATACATTGAAGATGAATAAACAATGAATCTAATGGTAATCTCGCTGCCATGCAATACGTATGTTCTCAATTTCCAACGCGCTTATGCTATATCTACCTATGCTATTTCGACGCCAATAGGGTGACCATGATTAATATATATAAGAAAGTATATGTTTCGAAATATAATATGTCTTGGATCGAAAAATTTGCATGAAATGTTATAACATAAAAGTTTAATCGGCTTGATTAGAGCAGCTGATAATCATCCGTCCCTTCGATGCTAGAGGTACCAGATAAGACACTTGTCCTGTTAAAATGACAATAATTGAAATGACAAAACACATCACGACATATCGAAATACCGGAAAAGTAAGGTATTAAGTAAGTATTGAACGCATTAACTAATATTACAACCGTAGTAGTGAGTGCGCGTGTGTGTGTATAAGTAAATTGTTAATATTCATTAAATTATTATATGGAAAACTATTTTAAAAAGAATTTATCGCCTTTCACTTTTGTTTTTGAACTGCAGATATTTCGAACAGTTTACGGAGTGGTCAAGGGACATGCTGAGTTGTTTCAAGTTCTAATGTCACAGTTAACTAATTACACCGTAATTTTTTTTTCACCATTTATGTAAAGTACTGCTACTACTATGTAGCCTTCGCGTTATAGCAGTAAACGTTGTATTCGTTATATTTCAAACGATCACATCACATCGCGAGTCGGCGCCTAGCTCCAAAGACAACAAACAGTCTTTGCATCAGAGACGTCTCTGCAAAAAGCGTTTTATGGCCACCGTAGTAATAGCTCGCATGTTTGCTAGTTGCCTCAAAACATGTCAATTTAGTACGTCACCGGGCAGAATGATCGGTGCATTGAGCTATTTGTGATTTGCATATAAAACGAAAACATTAACCGAATCGCTAAATCTGTTATTTATACTACTGGTATTGTGTATTACTGTAACCATCTTATCACAATGCGTTGCATCAAATTTGATAAAGGCAGAACATTACTGGTACATGTTAATAGCCGTGTAGGTTTCCAGCACTAAATATAAAACTAAAACTGATATAAGCATATAGATAAAAAAAAAATAAAAAAATTTGAAATGCTCGCTCACCTACCCCTATCTCACAAAAAATAAACGTTTCAAAAATACATTTTACAGTACATTTGCAATAAGCACCGAGATGACCATAGAGAACTTTTTATAGAAATAATGACAAATGAGCAAGCTCCAAAAGCAAGTAGCCACCATCGTTATCCGTTCTTTGCTATTGTGGCCTTAAGGGTAGGTTCAGGTACTTCATAAAGGTTCCTAAGTCGTAGCGGTCGATATACAACGATAATATTTATACCAGATTTTCTTACTCTTAATTCATATAATGAACATGAATCGATCGCAATTTTAGAGCAAAAAAAGAAAGAGAATCACAATTTCCTGGTTCTACGTAGAACAGTTTCAATTTATCGGTAATTTAGTTTATTATCGATCGACTATACTAATATACCAAAGAAAAAAATTCTATTTCAAAATACCTTCTATTCTCTTTAATGCAATTTATTCCTTGTCTATTCACATCCGTGCTAGGCTAATTCAGACATAGTACTGATCGCAAGGCGAACCAAAATTTTCTATTATTTCGCCGGAGGTGTTAAGTCATATCATGTTGCGTTGGACACCTGCGGTCACAACGTTAACACCGATTTTAACCTGACGATTTGGTTTGTCCGTGTAAACTGTAACGCTTTGCAACAAAACTTTGAATGCCGCTTTTAGATTTATTTTAGATTCACTTTTATTTCTTCTTGTTTAAGGCAAGAATGAATCCAGTTATTTTAATTTAAACTATTTCATCTGATGTTTGGACTATACCTTTTTTTATGTGAAAAGTTGCCAAGCGAGCAGACGGTTCACTTGATGTTAACTGAATACCGCCGCCCATGGACATCTGCTACACCCGAGGGTCCAACCTTTTGAAAATTGGGCTCCGGCTACTTCACGCACCAGACGAAACGCGAAAGTATTTTTCATACTTTCACATATTTGTAGTTTCCTTCGCCTCTGTTCTTATGTCTAAACGCGATAAATTCAAAAACTACTGTATGGACGTTCATAATGCTTTTCGCCAAAAGACAAATTGATTCATGAAGAAGGTGTAAGTATATAATCTATTAGGTTACCTATGTTTTTTAGGCAGAAACGAGGCGGCGATTGTTGAATATATCGAAAAAAATCATTATGCGCGAACAATCTATCGAATAGCGAATCATATATCACTACAAGTATCATCATCACTACATAGTATAAAACAAAGTTGTCCCGCTGTCTGTCTGTCCCTTTGTATGCTTAGATCTTTAAAACTACGCAACGGATCTTGATGCTGTTTTTTTACTAGATAGAGTGGTTCAAGAGGGAGGTTTATATGTACTATACATTGCACCCATTGTTTTGAACTTTTAAAGGCTGATAAAGATGATTGGTGATTCCATAATCTGTTACGTAGCCCTGGTTTAAAATATTTAAATAATATAAGCATTGCATTTTGTTCAATGTTTTTATTAGTGTGCAGACCAGAGCAACGGAGAGCATAATGCCCTAGGTTTAGAAGTATTTCAGCTTGTTAACTGTTAATTTGTTTAACTATGGTTGATATAAATATCGATATATTATAAAATTTCAAATAAAAACTCTAAATAATTACCTATGTCCTTTAGAATTATTATACGTACGCAATAATCTTATTCCTTCCTTTAATTTAAAATCGTGTATTTTAAATTAAAGCGCTGAATGATTTAACTCAATTAAAACTAGTCCCCAGACTCAAAGAAAACAGCGTCAAATGTTTCTGAGCCTGTACCTAAGTTTTTTTTAACCTTGAAGTTAGCTATTGTTAGAAGGCATTATGAAATACCTATAATGTTCATATTTTTTGTGGTTTGTAATTATTATTTAGTTTTGTAGTTTCTGAATAGAATAATGTCGAATTTAAAAAAACTACGTTCAACTACTCGCGTACAACGCGTTTGGATATTTTGAGAGAAAATTTTGAAAGAAGACGCTTAAAGTTGAGACACGCAGGGACGACAGTAAAGCGGCCTTTGTAATCGGAGCGGAGCTATCGAAAATAAAATCCCATTACGTGGTCAAAAACATTTAGAGCGTCTAGGCGCGTAATAGGTGTTATAAATTTTATCGGCCTCAAACTTTCGCGAGAGCAGTAGCGTCCTGTGACGTCACCGCCGCGTGGACACCGATGGGGTTATTGACATGTCAAACTATTTCCGCGGGCGCCAAAGTTAAAAAAAGCGCGCGAATCCGCGGGGGCGTCCTCCATGTTGACAACGATACAACTGCACGCTACCACCATAACATTATGTGTACGAATGCGATAATCAGATGAAAACAATAAATTGAGGCGTCGGCTTGCGGCCTGGGACGGTCTCGAGTTACGTTTTGAGCAAAGGAACGTCTAAAATTACCCCGCACGCACACCTAGCGTCCCACCAATACCTACACACTCACACAACGCCGCCGCCTATATCTATTATCAAAACATCCACCGACTCTGGTTACAGCGATCCGAGCGCGCTTCGGATATCGCGTTACACACTTTAATGGCTGGAAAAGGCCTCGAAAACGTGATATTACACGCGTTTTATATTGTATCGCGAAACATAATTAATATTGTAACCGAACACGGAACAATTTGGTCCGCGCAAGCCCGCGAACCTTTCGGGACCCGCGCGTTTATCACATTTAAAAATATACTGCACGGTGTCCAATTACGAGGCAAATCGCCAGCGACGCGGTAACCCGATGATGGGCTTCCGACGGAAACCCGCGCCGTTCCTCGAGACGAATCGTTCTACAATTAAATCTCACCTTGATCTCCTCCTCGTTCTCCTTCTTCACTTGGACGCGCAGCGGCGGCGAGGATTCCGTCGGTGTTTTACTTCCCATCTTTCGGTGACGGTGTCAACTCACAGAAATAAAACACGGGGAGCGTACGTTGGAAAGTTGTCAAAGTTTCTCATGTCACATGTAACTTCGTCGAACGCGTAACATTTCATCCGAGAGCGTATAACGACCGCACGTCAACACCGCGCGACGTTCGCGACGCGACTGTTTCGAGTTTCGACAAACGACAATACAACGTTCGTGCTTCGGCGGAGGTGGATATTCGATGTGCGCCATTCGCTGCGAAAAAGCTCAAGTATTTTTCCCGCGCTCGCTCAGTGGAGGGAAGGGGCGGAGCGTATGCCAGCTTTTGGGCGGCCGTAGAGTTAGAATGTAGTCGTGCGTTTGTTTGTTATTGTTAAATAAAGTAAAAAATATGTACGTAAATATAATGTTTCGCGTAAATTAACTTCGACGTAGGTTACGAAGTGCAGATAAGCGCCTAATTTATAAAAAAATACACAAATGGTTAATAACAAACTAAAATGTCTGAACAACTAAACAATTTATGCAACTTGAAGTAACTAATTTTATTAAGACTGGCTTTCAGATTTACGTAACATTCGATCGAGGCCAAATATGTAGATCCTTGGGAGAGCAATTGTTAAAACCAAATATCTTACTTACTTTACTTTCTTACTTAGAACATTGTTAAATTATATCGAATCGCTATAATAAATAATTTATTCCTTTAAATTAAATTACCTAAAACGAAGGCATTGTGGATTAAATATCGATACAACACAATAATATGTTTAATGTATGCAAACAGTATCGTGAAGAGAGTTGAACACTGTTATTACGTTTAACAATTTTAAAACTCTATGACAAATGATATTTATTCGAAGTTCTTTATCAGATTTTTTCAGACTCTTCTTGCTCTAGGTGTTATTGTATAGTATTAGCCCTGTGTTTGTGGAAATCAATTGTGATATATTTACTATAATGTATATTGTACGGGATTTATTTTTGGTATTTTGAAGTATTTATGTGCAAAAGTGTTCTGTGTTATAACTATCAGTAAGATTACTTGGTTTAGCTTGGTTTGCGTGTGTGTCGATTTTTTTGTGGTTTACTGGCTTTTTATTAAAGCTCAAATACCTATATCTTAGTCATTTTTTACAGTTTTTCTTTTTTTTTTTTTTATAATTATGCCACCCTACTCTTTCGCGATTTTGATGGTATAATAATGCTTCGGACTAGTCTATGATTTAGACCATAATCTTAATACCTTTAAACGAGTAATTCTTGTATGTATGAGTATATGTATATACAATCTGAATTTCGGAAAAGGTTCCAACGATTTTCATGAAATTTAGTAAGCAGCGCGTTTCGGGTGCGATAAATCGATCTAGCTGGGTTTCATTTTTATAAAATGTAATTTTATCCGTGTTTTCAGGCAACGAAAAACTGCTCCTAAATCATTAGAATACGATCGTAAATTTCGCCACCATCCACAAGTTTGTGATAGCCCAGGTGGGAAATCGGGTGGTGCCGAAACCAGAAGGTACTCCTCATCCAGGTACTGAATGATTTAAATGTAATATTTTGAAATATTTCTGGTTGATTAGTCGTTATGTAGTCTATTTCATTTTTATACCGTCCGTTCCGAGACGAAGTACCGAACGAGTATTTTAGTTTATTCTCAAAGGCAAAGTTTTTTCAGTTTCTGTCCTCTTTCGTTTCTTTGTCCATATCCATAGCTTTTTGTTATTAAATATTCATCTTTTAAGGTTCGACCAATCTTTGCATAGAAATCTCCCATTATAATTAGCATAAGTAGGCTGACGAGGCGAATAACGTAGTGGGTACCTGCCTCCTGCACCAGAGGGTGTGGGTTCGATCCCCTCTACTGGAAAAATATTGTTTTTTTTTTATGCGGAAAGTTGTCAAACGAGTAGACGGTTCACCTGATGTGAAGTGAATACCGCCACCCATGGACATCTGCCCATGACACGCGAGGGTTACAGATGCGTTAACAACCTTTTGAAAATTGGGCTCCGGCTATCTCACTCGCCAGACGAAACGCGAAAGTATTTGTCATACTTCCACTTTACGCTGGTCTTCTGTGAGGTCGTGGTACTTACCCGGACGGGCCTACCCATTCGTGCAACAGCCGAAGCTGCTGCGTTTCCCTACCACTGTTGTGTGATGAACATAGTATTTTTAGTCTAATATATATTTATTTACAAAAGAAAGGTATGTTTAAGTATGTTTATCAGTTATCTAGTACCCATAGTACAAGCGTTGAACGTTGTGTAAAAATGTGTCCTAAATTATTTATTTATTTAATATTATTTATTTTATGGGCGAACTTTTTGAGTTTATTTATTTGTGGTAAAATTCATTAATTTCCTCCACATTCGCTGATACTAGGGGCGTGCACTAGTATCATGCCTTGTATATTGAGATTTAAATATTCAACTCTTTCTGTGATTGCAGTCAAGCTTTCCATGTTTTGCTTTAAAGATATTTTTATGGGAAAGCCGACAACCTGTTTTTCCTAGCCTCCTCCTGTTTTCCTCTATAATATAGAATGAAGTTTTTTTTTATGCGAAAAGTTGCCAAGCGAGCAGACGGTTCACCTGATGATAAATGAATACAGCAGCCCTACCTATGAATCTGCTACAGCCGAGGGTTCCAGATGCGTTGACAACCTTTTGAAAATTGGGCTCCGGCCACCTCACTCACCAGACGAAACGAGAAAATATTATACTTCCACTTTACGCCGGTCTTCTGTGTGGTCGTGGTAGTTACCCGGACGAGCCTACCCATTCGTGCAACAGCTGAGGCTGTGCTTGGCCCTACCACAGAGAAACCGTCCTCATGTTCAAATCGAGGTACAGGCTGGCCGGCTGGCTCAGCGCCCGGCCACCTCAAGCCCGGTAGATCTGAAAATGTCCCTAAGGCCGATAGTGGTTGATCCAGCTTAAAAAAACTAATATTTCTTTTTTTACTACCAAGCCGTCTAACCAATATGAAATCATAATAAATAAATTGATACGCTAAAGATGTCGTACTTGACTCATATGAAAGCTTCATGCAGTTCAATCTGCCGGTCTTATGGGGATAAGAAGCTGGCTTTGTGGTGTTTGATCATTTTGTATTTATATTTTAATTTGTTTTGTTGGGATATTGGGGAAATTCCCTGGAGTGGTCACACTCATCCACGTTGCCCAACCTGTTTGGAAGATGTTTTGGGTTTACTCTATCTTTACTTCCCGTTTTTGTTTTTTTGAGATTGGGTCCTGATTGCTAATTGGTTTGTTGTAGAAGTTTTATTTAGGTTTTTTTTGATTAAATAATTTTGAAGGGCCTGCGCGACTAATAAATGTCAAATTTTACATAATATATAACAATTAGTCCGCGAATACGCAGTGGGGCCGCGTGGTGTACTATGCCCTGATACCCTCTGTACAGAGGAGGCCTTTGCCGCGCCATCAAATCATCACTGTATTTAAAAACGTGACATTCAGTGAGGAACAATTATGTGAGGTTATGATTATGATTTGTATGGAAGGGGTTCTACTTGCTAGTCGAAACGACCACTGTGACCTAGAATATCTATTGTAGTCTCTCCTTCGAAGTTAGATAGCCTGCTCCAAACCTAACGAAATTGACGACCCACGAGACACTAAGAGTCTGGGCTTCTTCGGGTGTCGGTTGCCGGTTGCCCAGTACCCGACTCCTAATATTGACCAGGGCATCGCATTCATAAATTATCTGAAGCGGTGTCTACTCGTCGACAGTTGCATTCTATTCATATAGTTATGTGGGGTTAAACCAAACACTTAACATCTGGTGAACCAACTGTATAACCAACTGTATAACTGTATAACTTAATCGCATCGTCGAGCGCATTTCCCAAAGGCCTTCTGGCTTAATGTACAACCAATGTAAATTACACACGCATAAATATCAGTTTAATATAAAGCAATATCACTGCAACCTTATCTTACTGTACTAACCGTACATATATTTGGAATTCTCAATTGCGGATTATTTACGATAATTCGGCAGCGTACCAATCGTAAAATTGAATAATTACAATAATTCAATCTAGTAACGGAGCGTACAGTGAACATTTGCCTAATGGATTTGTTTATTATCAATGAAAAGTGTTTATATACTATGAAAAGGCACGAATGGTATGATATCACGGTATAATATTTTAATTTTTCGTTTCGTAGTCCACATAAAGGCATGATTGTTTCCGTAAAATCCTTTTAGTAAATCTGGCTTTCAAATCGGGATAATAACTTCACGTCGCGAAAATAAGTTGATGTTGCTTTCAGAGTTTGAACCCAATTTGTTAAAATTTATAAAGACACTAACAGATATAATTATGTACTTAGCTTTGCCCTAGCTATGATTGTGTTTTAATCTTTAAAAATTTCTTCATTAACAACATTGGAATAAATATACATTTTTGCCGCCTCAATTATTATAAACTTCAAATGTTTTTTATACGGAAACATAAGTAATACTCAAACAATCTTTATTGTGGCATCTGGTGGTATGTAATCTGACTGTAGCGGCGGCTATAGCTGTTGCAATAATGGGCTAATAGGTAGGCACGTTCGGGTCACGCTACTGGCCAAAGAAGACCGACATGGAGTAAAAGCATTATCAAACTTTCGTGTTTTGTCTGGTGGTTTGGTTTTTTAAATGTTGACAAAGCATCTGGAACGCTTCGGGTGTTGTAGGTGTCCATGGGCGGCGATGACATCAGGTGAACCGCCTACTCGCTTGACAAATTTTCACATAAAAAAAGATCTATCGAAAACTCAATCTGAGTACTGGAATGAGCGACGATTGCATGTAACTCGAATAAAATCGTTATACATACAGCCTACATATACGCTACACTTTCGCGATCGCTTAAATAAATAAAATAAACAACTAAATAAATATTTTAGGACACATTTTTACACAACATTTTCTAGTCCCCATATAACTATAACATATAATGTATAACTGATAAAATACTTAAACGTACTTTTCTCTTGTAAATAAATACATATTATACATATATAAACACCCAGACACTAGAAAAGCACCATGTTCATCACACAATATTTTGCCAGTAGTGGGGATCGAACCCACACCCTCTGGCGCAGGAGGAAGCTAGAATACCCACTAAGCCATTCGGGTCGTCATTCGATTTCATTCATATAAAAGTCTTTGTATTTTAACGTCTGTCTCTTTTGATGTGAGTGTGATTGATTGTGATTTTGATGTCTCGAGCCTAATCGTGAGGGCGAGTTAATCTTCCTTTGAAAACTACTTAGCTGCAACGCCACTACTTACTACAATACAGGGGGAGTATCCTACCAATAACGACTACGAGCAATTGGTCTACGAACTTGTATAAGGCCATTGTGAGTCACATTGGTTTGAATCGTAACATTTTGTGTACTCGTACTGTAACTTTCAGTACGTATTACAAGGAGGTAAAAAGCTAAACGTTGATTGTATATTATTTGATATACTAATAACCCCATATTGCTGCGTCATATTTTACTTGTAAATGGGTTTTCCTTATCCTCAATAAAACTAACTTTTTTCGGAACAAAATAAATTGAATTTGTATTGTGTTGTATTAATTGTATGTGTCGTTACATCATATTTTGTAACTTTCGCATATTTTTTAACATAAGCTAAAACGCAGACTTAGCCCACTATGCAGAAATGTTTTGAAAGCGGTATTTACTCATCATAACCGAATGATTTGCTGCAGTTGTGGAGCTTGATATAAAGTTTAATGGAGGTCAGATTTCCTAAAATAATTGAACATTAAAAACTTTTTTCTTTATCTCATTATCGTGGTCAGTGATTAAATATGATAAAATGTTAAAATGCAAGTTCGTGATATAAAATGCAAGATTTAAATAACGAAACAAGTTATTCATTTAAAAAAAATATAACGTTTTTGAGAGGGCCATTGCCCTTCCCTACTTTCCCTCTATATCTACTCTTGTTTGTCTATGTGTTGACACCAACACAAATTTATTAAAATAAAGTTTATAACTATAATGACATTCATTATTTTCTCAATCAATGATATTAATACTTCTTTACCTACCTACCTATAAAAATACTTTTATTACTAGAAGTTTAAAAATGAACGCACAACCCGTTATTGGTTTGCCTAGTTCCGTTCTGAAATAATAGTGTTATGAACACACAAAGGAACGAACGCCATCTAGCGTCAACTATTAAAACCACTAAAGAACAAAGACGACATAAAACCCCCTATTCAACACTAGATGGCGTTAGAGGAACTGCTGTGGAACTATAGTCTCGAAAACCGGGTACATTCGCGAACTTTCCGGAATCACGAACATGTTAGTGCGTGTCGGGTACGTTCCAGGAATGATCTTTCTGGATTAGTCCGGAACCGGTCTCGGCCCATATAAAAAGCCGCGGGGAGGCGAGCGAATACAGTTCAGTTTGAGCTACCTTCGAGGCGACTTCGGAGTGAAAACTAGTGATCAAGAGCGATACCAGTGAAACCTACGACTTGGCTACAATCTAGGACATCGTTAGTGCTTAGTGATTGGACCTAGTGCTTTGTGTTGGACCTAGCGCTAGTAAATAAAGTCTTCAAAAGAGTCAGCAGGTCTTTCTCTCCAAATCCTTCGAACCCCGAGCACGTAACAATAGCAAATAAAGGAACTTGAAATTTAGAGTTGAAAATTGAACCTCGTGGTCGTCCGGCTACTTTGGTCAATAATGATGAACTGAAGGCGATTCTGTAAGCTGATGATACTCAATCTACAGCCGAGTTAGGAGCAGCTTTTTATGTTAGCATCAAAACAATATTGGTTCATTTGCGACAAATAGATATTTGGTTAAAAAAAAGCTTGATAGATGGGTCACCTTGCGCTGCAAACGCTTAGAAATGAAGGAATTTTGAACCGAATTGATACGTGCGACAGAAAGAGGATTCTATTCGACAATCGAAAGCGCTCAGCATTCCACTACTTATCGCTAGAGGGGAACTGGGTTATGTAAATCTGTCACTGGCTCCTGGACTAAAATAGCTTATAATTTATCAATGCCGATCATTCGTTTCTGAACGTAATCAAGCACGTTCGGCATTCAGAAACCTACGTGCTTCGATTGTAGCACCACTTGGCAGTTATACCAGGTTACTGGTCTGAAAGTTTTGTTTACATATCTCATCTGATGTTAAGCAATTCCCGCGGCCCTTTTGCACTACAAAACCTGATAAATTGCAGATGCATTGCCATTACAAAACAGGGCCTCGGTTACCTCACTCACCAGAAGAAATGCGAAAGTGAAATAATTCCACTTCATACCGTATGCTTTCGTGTCGTAGGCAACTTTCCATGAGCTTCCATAATTTCTTGTCACCGTCTTAAATTATTAAAAATAATGTATTGCAAATTTAATGTAATTGTGCTGTAACAAATCATAAGTTTATAGTTTAAATTAAAAAGATTTGGCTTAGAGCAAAAAAAGTTAAACCAAACTTGGCACTGCGCCACGGAGTCATCTAGCGGGGATATGCGTGAAACAAATACTCGCATATGTCATAGTGGGAAGTATACTTGCTTTGTATAAATTTACTTTACGTCACCGTGCCAGGCGAAACATTACGTATTACGCCTTTCTGGGCAAAGTGCTAATGTATTGTTTGAATGTGAGTATTTTATCTAGCGTTACTACGAATTTGGCCGTGCTTTCATAGAATCGGTTTGCTGAATAATATGACCGGATGGAGTTTTTTCTTTCGTTGATGGTCCGAGCGAGCAACAATTTAACGTGATCGCCTTAGTCTTTTCGGAGTTGACCACGATCCACAACATTTCGAACCATTCGCCTACTAGGGCATTTAGAGCACATTGTAGACGGATAATAATCTGGGTTGCGTCTAGTTGTGTGGTGGGTGTGTATGGTCTGGGCAACTCGACCTAACGGGTCCTAGCGATGATGTCACTAGTGTATAGGGAACACAGCCTCCGGAATATTATCGATCTCTAGAGGGTGCCTGAGGGGATTGGGGGTGCTATAGCAAAGGGCTCCGTTGACTCGAAATTAAAATCAACGGTTCGACAAGTAATCTCGTATGTAGTAATCTTGACGTCGAACAAAAGATACTCCATGTGAATTTCTTTCTGGAACTTGGTGGGGTGACGAATTGAAAGAATATGCTCCGTGAAGTGGTGCACTTGAAGAATGCTAGAATTTCCGGTCCTGATGCCGAGCTGCTCGTTGTTAATGAGATTTAATGATTGAACGCATTTTTCAATCCTAGTGTTCGTAGCTGGATACTTTTTGGATAAGGTTTAATATACTGCTATAACTAAATATTAAGGTTGCTCTATCGATTAAAAATATTTTAAAGTTAATAAAATGTTTCGAAAATTGAAAATTTATCGTGCCATTTTCAGCTATGTACTTGTAATATTTTTGACAATCTGTAATGAGGATGTTGACATTGGTATTTTTTCTGTTGAAAAAGGCCCAACAAAAACTAAAAATGGAACGTCTAATCAGCTGTTACCGTTGTCAATGCTTGATTACAAATTAATGACAATGACAACAGATTTAAAAAAGTACTCTTTCAATGACAATAAAAAAAACCAACGTTATGTCACAATTGACAATAGAGTTGGACAATAAAATAAAAAGTAAACTTGATTAGTTGATTTAAATCAAATTTGTTAAAATGTTAGTTTGCTGTTGGAATAAAAAAAAAATTAGTCTATAACAACAATCAAAGCAAAACATGTCTTCTAAATTACCGAAAACAACTTTAAGTTTAAAACAAGTAATATTACACCTAGCGGTCAGTATCTAATGTCCGATCTGATATCCGCAATAAACTACTTGAATTAATATTTCAGTTTATGCTGCGTCGAGAAGTATTAAAGTTGTACAGAGAAATATTCAGGACAATAAGGCAAATTCCTGAGGAGAGCACGCGTATAGAACTTAAAGATTGGGCGAGAACCGACTTTAAAAACAATAAGCATCACAGTGATGAAGCAACAATAAAAAGCATGTTATATTATGGCAGGAAATCCCTAGCAGATCTACAAAAATCCTTAGCAATTAGTAGAAGCTAACAAAGTATATATACTTGTAATTACATGAATAAATAAATACTTCAGGACATATTTGACACATCGAGTCCCAATCTAAGCAAAGCTGGTACTATGGATAATAGGTAACTAATAAACATACATAAAAATACTTTTCATCAGTTACAGATATATAAATACCCAGATACTGAAAATACTATGTACATCACAATATTTTTCTAATTGTAGCAATTGAACCCACACCCTCTGGGGCAGGAGAGAGGTCCACTATCCACTACCCTAATAAAGTCGTCATTATTAGTATATAAGAAAGAACACTACACTTGGAGGAAATTAACCTATATTATTGTAATGGTGTAAAAATAATGTGTAATAACCATAAAATGTATATAACGTCATGTATACTAAAAAACTCATGGACATTTGTAAAACATTAGAACTATTTATTCCTATAAAATGATACTACAAATTGTCTTCATTGTTTTATTAGTCATTGTTTATACAAACAGGTGATATTACCATACAGTAAACAGATACCAAATAAATACAAATACCCAAAGTTAAAAAAGTGGTTTCATAAGTTAACCTACATTATTATGGTTTTAAAATATTTTAATTAGTATAAAAACAACATAATTAAAGAAAGATTTAAAAACAAATTTATATACAAAACATCAAATTCCTAAGCACTATAAAACGTCTTTTGGCTATAAACTTACTTGCTCTCTGATCTTGAAATCAGTAGAGTAAAAACATCCACAAAGCCTATTAATGATACTGCTAATCTCTGAAGGGGCATAAAAAAATTATAACTAGTTATCCACATAAATTTCTTTGTAGAATAGATATATTAGTATAGGTATAGTGACACCTGTACCAACAACCACAATAAATGTTGTGAAAAAGGTCACAAAATCTCCATTCTTATTCAAATACTTAGCTAAAATTTGTATAAGACACCTTGCTATATGATGTCCATCAGTTCCATAGCAAGGTACTACATTCATAAATGCTATACCCATGGAAAATATGAATATATACCTTAAAAGCTTTTCAAAGTGGGAAGGAGAGAAAAATGATAGCAATGATATTCTAGGAAAGTACTGATCAACAAATACTGTATGATGCAAATCATAAGGGACTCCCAAGTACAGTACTGTGTTGTCATCCTTTCTCTCAATAATTATTAGATATGTGTGATTGTTTAATGATGGCTTCAGACAGTGCATGCCTCGTGAGCAACTGTATCCACCATGTTCAGTGCATTTAACTAACTGACTTCTCACCATGTCTCTAGGTTTCAAACAAGAATATTGGCCTGGTAATACTGAGTCACTGACAACTTTGGGTTCCATGTACTCAAAGCATAAACTGTACAAGTTGTCTTTTCTGCAACATTCAACTACATCATTCTCTTTTACAGTCTCCATCATTATTTCATCATTCTGAGCAACAAATTCAGCACTTGTACATATTCCGTAACGATCATGAGCTGTGTGTAGGCAATATAACCAATCATTAGCATTTTTGATGTCACATCCATTAATGCTAGTAATCACATCTCCAACATTAAAACCCCTTACCTCTTTTAGGGGAGAGTCCTCAGCTAGCTCTACAACTTTAACTCCAACATCAGTTTCATATCCTAAACTAAATAAAATAGGGGCAGAAAAGAAAAGTAGCATGGCCATAAATGCAAATGCAACATTATGCCACACACCCGCACAGAAGATTCTTAATCTTTTGGTTAATGCTAGGCTATTTAAATGTTCAACATTCAGATGGACAAAAGCCATGGGAATAATTGCATATACATAGAAACCAACATCAATTAATTGGACATCTTCTTGCGTAGCTGCTAATGCATGTCCCAGTTCATGAAAAATACTACTCATTCCTATTGCCAGAAAGTACACCCAGAAGTCAGAAGCAGGTATGTTAACTCCAGGCAACATTCCTTTTACTTCAGGTATATTGTCTATTTGTATAGTCTCATAGAAATGTTCATAGATAAATGTAAGAAGTACCCAGAGAGCAAACGGTAGGAACAACCAAACAGTGAAGAAATATCCGCATGTGAACCATTTTCGTAGTATTCTTGTGAGGTTCTTGCTCCACCTGTAAAGAAATCTGTTGAATGCAGCTGTGGACCAAGAGAAGTTGAATATTCCAACTTTCAAACCGGTTCCTTCCAAAAAAGCATAATAAGGGTAATGCATACAACTCTGAAAAAAAAAAAAACAAATGTTACAATATGCCAGTTGATTGTTTTTGTAAACATAACAACAACAAAACTATTGCACAAGTAGTACCTTAAAGAAAGAATCAAAAAACCATATTACTACGTAAAAAGCTAGCACAAAGGAGCAAAGTATTATGAACGACATTTTATTGATAACACTATAATATTTATGTGATAATTATAAGAAACATTTTTAAAACAATCTGAAATGCCTATGAAAGCCGGTCATTAATCGATAATTTGAACTGCAGAGTGTAGTACATATTTTCTGTCCAAATGTCAAAATAATTTCTTAATTCTTATCTATTATAGACATTACGAAAATTATTAATACATCAATGTACGAAAAGCTCATGAATTAACTGATATTCATTTACATAATATAATATACATTTCGCAAAATGAAAGTTTTAATCGATTTCGATTGTTATCCTCTTAATCGTTACTCTGGCGACAGCGCAGAGGCGTTCGACATAGTATAGCAAAACGGCTTAATTTTTAATCTATTTTATTACTCGCTAGGAGTACCAGACAGGCTCGTTAAAATCATATACTATTTGTCGAACGATCGACTTCTTGATAGCGCCCCACTTTACCCAAGGTTTAGTATTGTATACAACAACAACGTCACTTGGACCCCCAAAGTAGAGTCGAAGCTATACCAATCGCAAAATATCCTAGTATTTTGCTCGTATATAAACGGCAATATACGCCCATGGTGAATTGTGGTGATCAAAGGAGAAGAGTGAGGTGACGTTTAATTACCACTGAAAAAAGAAACTCCCTCTCGTCATATTATTCAGTGAACCCATTCTATGGGAAACCACGCTCCACCATTCACACTCCGAAGAGGTTCCGATCACGCTCCTAAACAAGCATTGGAGTGGAATCCTCATGGAAAAAGAAGGCGTGGCGTTCCCAGGCAAACCTGCCGTCGCAACGTATTGGGAGAAGTGCCGAGCATTGGACTGATGTGGATCGAGTTGAAGCGTGAAGCGCAAGATTGTTCGCGATGGCGATCTACTATGACGCCTTCTGCCCCAAGCCTAAGAGACATAGGATTTTAAGTCAATTCAAGTCATTTTATGGGAAAGCCGCTATATAGAAAACTCTCATTCCAACAACACATTAGCACTGTGTCCGGTAAGGCGAAGTATATAATGTCTCACCTGGGGTAGGAACCAAGCGAGACATGGTGCAGTATTGTCATTTTACAAGACGCTCGTGAGTGTTACAAAACATCTATGCGTTCTATAAAGACATACACGGGTGTGTTTTGCGTATATCCCCTTGAAAGACTTGCATTGTGAATTTATAATCAGTACTCTGTCCATCTACTTTAAATAAAAGTTCATAAGACATGTCTAATGAAACAAATTGATTCAAACAATTTACTTCTCCCGTCAATGTCCAACAATTGTCTTGTCATTAAATTCTAAATTTGAACCGTATTTACTTTGGGATACAGTAATTCTTTTGGGATAGGTTTCACTATCGGTCATGGACGGTCCGAGCTGATGTTTAAATTTCCATCTGACTCCTTGCATCGTGTCATGCTCCCTTGTTAATCGAATTATCTATCTTTTGTTAACAGGGGTCGCAAGGATGCAGCGGATCAGCGGAGTGGACGGCAACATAATGTTGTCATGTTACACGAACTACCGTCTACATTTTTTTCTAATCTGCCGCGGATCTGTCTGCTCGGCGAAACTTCCGTCGAAGCTCTAAAAGCCGCCAGGCTAACCATAAACTACACTAAAAAAATACAAATCGATGTTCTTATCTATGGATTATCATTTGACATCAATAGATAGATTTTATTTTGTAAATGTCAATTTGTCAATGAAATCTGACTGAAGAAAGTTGACGGCCGCGTCGTGTGTGAGAATCGAACTATAACATTGTGACATTTTATCATGTGAGTGATGAGTTGTACCGAAAATGAAAGTGGACCTTTTGTCGTATTCTTCCTACCAGCGGTTGTCGGTTGCCTGACCATACTTTTGGCGAGGCGGTGGGCTAATTCACAAGTTAGCAGCACTTCGTCCACTGCTATTTCTAGGCGACGGAAAATTATTAAAGATCCGCTTGTTAAGCGGCCTTTGCCACCAGTTGCCTGCAAAATGGTACCACCAGGCCCAAAGAAAACCCCTGGAATTACAAGAAAGGTTTGATGTTATATTGACACCTTTATAATACAAGATTATTTCTTGTTGATATAATTTAGGGTTAGCGACAACTTAAGAATACTAGGTAGTGTTTGTCATTAGGTTTATAATATACAATTCCACTGTAATTAATATGGTAGGAGCTTAAATATAGCATTGCATTTTAATTGTATAGTATGTCATAGTTTGTTTGGTTACACTACACTAGTTACTAGTTAGTTCTAAACAGCAAATATAGTTTCCTATTACAAATATATGAAAGGAAAATATAATTTTCTTGATTATAGCTTGCTTTATAGAAACTTGCAATGAAATTTTAAGGAAAACAACTATACCTGTAAATTGCTATTAAAACTTGTTTTTGCTACACATTTTTTCAAGAATTAAGCTGCAAATGCAAAAAACATAAGAACATGTGTGAAGAACAAATGTTTTTGTGAAGTTATCCCAATACATAATTTTAATCTTATTCTCTGATAATGTTGTTCAAAGTTCATCTCATCTTGGTGAAAATGATCTTTATGCTAATATTTAAATAGGTTAAAATGAGCATTTAGCAATGCAGTTTAAAGGACATTCTGTAACCAATGAGAAATTTTCCATAATAATGAGTAATTGTGTGAACTCTACTGTTAATGAAAGTTCTTTTGTGTTTGAACTAAAATATTCACTGTTATGTAATGTACAAACAACTTGGGAAAAGACTTTAAAATGTTCATGATTTTAGTAGGGAAAAGACTTTGAAATGTTCAGGATTTTAATAAAGAGATTTTACATATTTTTTTATTGGGATCGATATTATATGCATCAATTTATAGGTTTTTTTTTTCACATTCATTCATTCACATAAAAAAATGATAATTGTTCTGATAAACATGAAATTGAAATTTAATTTTTGATGATTATTTTGACATAGTGACGCTTCAAATGTATTTTTTATATCTTGATATTTTATTTTTACTCCAGTTATCAATATTATAAACCTCATTTGTATGTTGACATTGTTATAAGAAAATAAAAATTAAGTTGCTACATTTTACCTTGTTGAACTATTGTGATTACAAGTTTACTTATTTGTGACAGTATGGTTTTGTTTTAAGTTTGTTATTTCATACTGCTTTGGAAGTATTTGACTTTTAGTTTACCGGACTAAGCAGTCATGAATTTGTAAAATAGCAACATCAATAGCCTATCTTTGAATGTATTCATTTTGTACTTTTATTCACTGCGATTTTTTTCTATAGGGAGCAGTATCTTTAGAGGAGGATTTAAATGGTAGCGGGAAACGCGTGTCGCGAGCACGCTTGTCGCCAATGAACTCATCCCAAACCGCAACAGATACCAAATTATCAGATGGCTTAATGCAACCCAAACATATACCCTTCCCATACATCAGTCACGATGGGGAAATGTTGTTTGAGTTTATGAATTTTGACTTCACACTTGTTGCTGCCGCACTGCAATTCCTAAACTTGTATAGGACTGTATGGTGGCTACCTCATTCTTATACAAACCAAGGAATGGTAAGTCATAAGACATTACTCTTCTTGTTCTGTATGCAATTGTACATTTTAAGAAATTTTACGGAGTTTAAAAGAAAGGAATTTTTTTTAAGAATATATTTAAAGGAATATAATTTTTTTATATGCTGCCTATTAAGGCAATTTTTTTATTCTAATAACTAAAAGTTAAATCATTTAAATTTCATAACCATCAGTATGCCTAAGTCTAGTGACATCTACTGGGATTAAATATCACTTTTGTTATTCTCCAACTGTAAGCAACAAAATACTATGATATATATTCTGATATGAATAATAATATTATTCATATCAGAATATACCAAATGCAAAGTTTTATTGCTTGTTTTCAGAATTTCTATTTGATAGACCCTCACCTGGTTGCATTTATTGTGACCATACTAAGCCGAAGGTGGCTCTTGTGTGTTACTTTGGCGATACTGAGATGCGTTCTCGCTCCAAAGATAATGCCAAATGCGACTATCGCTGCTAGGTGAGTAGATGTCATATAGATTTCTTAATTGATCACTTCTTACGTATCATGAATATTCATGATATTCCATTTGTTATCACTATAAAGGGCTATCATCTCTCGTAATGCTGCTTGTTAATGCCTATTTATGATTTGTGTATAATAGTATAAAAAAAACAGTTCTGTATTTTATTATATTATAACTAGTACTTTGTTGAACTGAATTAAATTATTTGTGTACTCTTAATGTAATAAAAAACTTGATTTTTAATTATAACATAGCTTAAGTCCATAATCAGTTTACTTACCAATACTGCCCGTTTATTGTATCAACTAATCTTTTTTGTTTTCTTTCATTGCAGGATGTTCATACTCGGTGTAATTTTGGGCGCCCTCGCTTGGTGCACCTACTTCATAATGTTAAAATATCCAGTTGTCGAAATATTTTACCTGTTATACCCGTAAGTAAATTTTGTTGGTATTTAAAATAAACTACTTATACTACTGCTATTGAGATTTGTATTTGTATTTTGTGCGGAACGCGATGTACAGCTATTGTAATCTTCCTAGCTTAGCTATTGTAAATCCTGAGTTTTCCTCACCATCATCGTCATTTCACCCTGTTGGAGTCCACTGCTGAACATAGGCCTCCACCACAGACTGCCAAGCACGAACCTGAGCCCCCCTGAACCCATCGGCTTCCTCCACATTTAAACGGGTCGTCGCTCCGCTCCATCGAGCACTTAAAAGTCCCCAGCTTATGTGTTTAAATTTTTTTTTGTATAGTGCTAATCTCTGCACTTAAGATTAAACATTAAAATTTTTCACTAATCGAATCCACGTCTTCGGGGCGCGGATCCGGAAGACGTGAGTTCGATTCCCGCAGCGGAAAGCGAGAAACTTTCCGTTGCTCTTTTCTACAAATTTTAAGCTGATGTGTTCTCATTAAAAAAAAAAAAACTGCAGCGCAGCGGTATACCTGGTGCTGTTCGGCGTCCAGTCGAGCGCATTCCTCGTGCTGAACAACGAGAGCGCCCCGCTCCACTGCTGCTCGCACGAGCCGCAGCACGCGCGCGACGAGGCGGACACGCTGACGGCGGACTTCAACCTGAGGCTCAAGAAGATACTCTTCAACTCGGTGCTGGACGCGTATTACACGAGCTTCATACCGTGCTGCTTCGCGCAGGTGGGTCAAAGTAATATGATAAGTTGGGAAAAGTAAACTAAAGTAACAGCCTATATGTGTGCCACCGCTGGGCAGAGGCCTCCTCTGTACTGAGGGTATCAGGGTATCATTATTATTAATATGAAATACTCCTTACATTGGTCTACTTCATCGCTGAGCATGTGATAGGTCAGCACTTAAAATTGACAATTTCATTGGTGGCGGCACCGTGAATCGAATTCAGGCTTTGCTGGGCGCCCAGAGATTGAGCTATCAAGGCTCAATATTTTTTTTTATTTTGGTCAAAAGCCCATAGTATTAGTTGGATTAAATACAAATTTAAAATCAAAGATTAACATGTTAAATAAAGTAATACATGATAATTTGAATTGTTATATGAAACACATTTCTTTTAAATACTTACTTCCTTACTAAAAATTATAAAGGCGAATGTTTGTATGTATGGATGGATGTTTGTTACTCTTTCACGCAAATACTACGGAATGGATTCTAATGAAACTTTACAATAATATAGTTTACACATCAAAATAAGACATAGGCTATAATTTATATACATATTTTTATGTATATATGTCTTTCTGTCTGAATGTTACGCTTATTCTACGCAGACGTAGTCGCGGTCAGCAGCTAGTTATCTACATATGACTCGGTGATACAGTTGCCAATCTAATGGCTTCGGCGCCGAGTGTCGTGGGTTCGATTCCCACAAGCGACAGGTATTTGTGCGATTCACAGATGCGAAAAGGACACACTATCCACTAAGCCAATCTTCCTTCTCTTTCGCATATCCCATATAAAGGATATCGGGTGGGATGGGATCTGTTGATTAGGGTGAGTTAAGACCCATATCTGTCGGCCGTTCGCGCGACTCGTCCCGTGCCGGGAATCGAACCCGCGCCACTAGTGTGACGCTCCGGCACCGTTCGGCAGCCGTACCTGTACTACGACGTGTACGCGGCCGCGCAGCAAGTGGGGCTCGTGTGGGGCTCGCTGTGCGGCCGCTACGCCGCGCAGCTGCTGCCGGCCGCGCACTGCGACGTCTCGCACAGGGCGGCGCTGCACCTCGGCCGCTGGGCGCGCGCGCCGCCGCCCCACGGTGCGTACCGTTTCGTCCGACCACAGCCGGCCTTAGTGCCACCCCAATCGTGTCATATCCTATTTCTGCTAGCCTTAGTGCCACCCCGATCATGTTATATCCTATTTCTGCTAGCCTCAGTGCCACCCCAAACATGTTACATTCGACTTCTGCCAGCCTTAGTGCCACCCCACAACATGTTGCATTCGAGTTCTGCCCCAATCCTCTTATATCCGAGCTCTGCTAGCCTGAGTACCACCCTAATTCCGTTTCATCCGAGCTCTGCCAGCCTTAGTGCCACCCCAATCCTTATATCCGAGCTCTGTCAGTCTTAGTGTCACCCTAATCATGTTAAATTCGAGTTTTTCCCCAATCCTCTTAAATGCGAGCTCTGCTAGCCTGAGCGCCACCCTAATTCCGTTTTGTCTGAGCTCTGCCAGCCTTAGTGTCACCCTAATCTTGTTACATTCGAGTTCTGCCTCAATCATCTTATATCTGAGCCCTGATATCTCAGCTCTGTCACCTTGTGTCACCCAAACCCTGTAATGTCCGACTTTTGTCAGCCTTAGTGTAACCCCAATCCTGTTATATTCGAGTTCTGCCCTAATCCTGTTATATTTGAGCTCTGCTAGCCTTAGTGGCACCCCACTCCTGTTATATCCGACCTCTGCTAGCCTCAGCTTTCATTTTAAAATCCCATATCTACAAGTCGTTATGAAAGTTACGAAGCTATGTAACTAACGGCCGTTCGTTGAGTATAGGAACCTCGCATGAGTCTCCCTACGCACGTGTAAAAGTCTCTTTGATAAACTAAAAGATCGTATAACAGCGGACGGCACCGTCGCGTGGTCCGGATCGCGCTGGTGGGGGGCGGGGGCGCGGGTGCGTCACGAGAGCGTCGAGTATGTCGCCGACGCCCAGTATGTCGCCGCCCACCCGGCCGACAAGCACCACGCCAGGTTCTATGTGAGTCATTTGTCACTATTGAATTTTTCTGTTTTTATTTCGCAGCCACATTCCATTAGGTGGTGTTACTCGATGGTGTTACTATGGCAATAAATAACAACTTTTTCACATTTAACTATAACTCGTAAGTTATCAATAGCACTTAATGTCTTTTTTTTTCCCTAGTGACCGAGTACTAGCATATGTAATTTTTTTTAAAGATATTTTCATTGGTTACGCTAAAGAAGTATAACTTCTAACATGTGTACATAATTACACATACGTTTTTTTTTTAATTTAACACAAACTAGTAACACAAGCAATAATTGCCATCTAAACAAAACAATAAGCCCTCATGTATAACCCCTTTCGGGGTTGACAGCAATAGATTATTGTATTGATGCGTATTGTTTTTTTTTACAGTTTAATTTGATATTAGTATTAACATGTCGATTTTAGGATGTAAGAAATCTAAAAACGTTATCTCATTAGTGCATGTCATTGAAATTTGATTAATAATAACTGCCTAATAGTTCTTATGTTATATTTATTTATTATATAGGCAATAATTGTCTGATGGTTCATGCTGACTGTGAAACCAATGGTGAAATTTAATTACTGTCCTTTAAAAATTAAGAAAAGAGGAGTGTCTCTATTTTTGGACGTAACAACAACTTCTTGAACTTTCTGAAGTAATTTTTTAATAAATTATATTTTGTGATTTTATTACATTCCAATTTGACAGTTTTAATAGAATGCATGAATCTTGAAAGCATAATATGTATTTGAGTTTGAAATAGACACATTTATCAACTTATGCATGTTGATTGGTTTGCCCGCAGTCGGTGTTTATAAATCCCTCGTCGCTGCTGTGCCTACTGCTGTGTCTGCAGCTATCGCTGGTGGTGGTGCATCTGTGCCTGCTCTTCAGCTCGATAGCTTGGCACAACTTCCTGGCGATAGTCGTCCTCCTCTTCATCAACTACTACACACTGTTCAAACTGGTCCGGGACTACCTCGTCGCTTGGAAGGTCTACAAGGCCGAGCACATGATACAGGACAAGAACGGGGCAGTCCAGCTAGCCACCAATTGACCTCCGGCCAAGCAACCCCTACGACAAGGCGCTCGAACAAAATTCACAAAACACAATGCGTTTCACCGAGCTATGTGACGTTAGATTGTACTCCTTTTCATGAGCCCCTTGATATATTAAGTGCGGGCTACAGTTAAGCATATGGCAAGCTTAATTCTTCTCTAAATTTTTTTGATTACAACATCTCGATTGCCAATCATCAACTAGTTCCTTGGGTCGAGTTATAAAAAAACAATCAATCAGTCTTAATAAATCTCTTTTCTTTCTTTGCAACACTTTTGAAAATTTTCAGTCATACTACCAAATGTCTACTCGTATTTAGAACTAAGTGATTTTCTATTAATAAATGTTGTTGATGTTAGTTTGTAGAAATTAGATGTATTTGCAATGCAAAATTTTAATACACAGTTATGTCACATGGGCCGAGTGAAATGCATTTGTATTATCGATCTGTTTAAACATTTTAATGTGTCAATTGTACTTAACATTTAGATGTGCGCTCATCGTCGTTTTAAGAGTATGTTTCTAACAAAGTGTTGGAAACGAATGTTCATCATTCACAATTTTGCATTGGAAGTTATAAGACTGAGGTGAACTAAGCCATTATGTTTTTTGTTTAAAGTTTTTAAAGATTCCTTCTCTGTTTAAGCGTTATTTTTGTGAAGGCGACATAATAATTTAAACGTAAGTGCTTGATAACTTAACCGTGTGATTCTGACCCAATAAAACACTTGCCATAAAGAAAAAAATATATTTCATATACATAACACAGCCAAAGCATTGTACAGCCATTCATATGTAGTTAGCAAGTGTTGTTTGAATGCTTACTATTTGACTTTTTATAACTATCATATTTATGTGTTATATATCACTATTATGTATACATCAGTACTCAATCGCCATCTAGTCACCAAACAAATGTAACGAAAATAAATATGAATGACAGAGTCTGCTTTTTAATTTCAAAATCTGCCTCCTTTGCAAGTATTAAAAGTACTCTTTATACAAACTAAAATATAAAGTACAAAAGTACCTGGAGGACCTTTTTTTTTTTTTTTTGGTAAATCGTGTATTTTGGAAATTACATTTAGATATATTAGAGCCGTGATAGCTCAGTGTCCGGGCGCTCGCCTTTAATTCAATATACTCGAGCAACCTGAGTTCGATCCCCGGTGCCGGCACCAATGAAGTTTTTAACTTTAAGTGCTGACTTATCACGTGCTCCGCGGTGAAGGAAAACATCGTGAGGAAACCTGCATATCCGCAGCGGGGCCGCGTGGTGGACTATGCCCTGATACCCTCTGTATAGAGTAGGCCTTTGCCCAGCAGTGGGACATGTATAGGCTGTTATTTTACTTTTTACATTTAGATACAAATTACTAAGTAATGAAATATGCATAATATGTTTCGATCTTACCGACGTAATAATAAGAAAACATGAACTGGGGTTTTTCACAAAAGAAAGAACTTTAAAAAAAAAGGGAAAAAAATAACTGGAATCGAAAAAAAAGTAAAAAAATAAGTGTGTAAATGATCGTAATACAAAACACGGCCTTCTGTTTCGTGGATGTTTGTCAGCGGCCGCCCGATTACCGATCGAGCTATTATAACATTTTTTTTTTCATTCCCTGAAAAATGGGATAAAACGACATTTTCTAAAAATGAAATCTAGTCAGATCGATTTTTCGCCCCCGAATCTACGCACATACTGAATTTCATGAAAATCGCTGGAGCCGTTTCCGAGATTCCAATTATATATATATATATATATATATATATATATATATATATATACATACAAGAATTGCTGGTTTAAAGGATAAGATATAAAATTTAAGAATCCTTAACTTGCACAGGTTTTATTTTGAAAATTGCACCAAATAAGAAATTTTGCATGAACTACATGTAATTTTTTGAATTGATAACCCAATTGGCGCAGTAGATAGTCACCTTGTCTCTTGCGCCAGTGTGTGTGGGTTCAATCCCCAGTACTTGGAAAAATATTGTGTAATGAACATAGTGTTATTCTCTGCGTCAGATGAAGCTTTAATAATCTCAGGACTGAAAGCAAAAACATCAGTTAATACAAGAAGGGTTATTCTAGTCTCTGTGTGTTTATATATCTATAATATGTATTTATTTAAAAAAGAAAAGTATGTTTCAAGTTTGTTTCGGTTTAGTTGTGTATAAATGAAATAGTTATTAATAATAATTTGAGCATCTGAATTTGTCCCTATGCAAGTTTTTATCTAAAACACCAAACTGCAAGATGTTATCCTACCCACAATGTTATATAATAATGTACTTAACATTAACAGCATGTAATAATAATTGCATTATTTTAACTACTTCTATTATGTTTGAGAACTTCATTTCGTAAAAGACCATTAATATCAAACAATCAAATTCTTAGCATATAGTTCTATAAAACATTTTTACTTAGTTAATATCCATGATGGTGTGTTATTGCTGTCATTTATTTGAATTTTCATCGTCTTCATTTTACCTCTGACTGTATCACATGCAATCAACAACTCTTTGTCCTTTCTCGATAAAGCACTATTTCTTACCGTATGTCTAAATTCAACCAAAGTATCAATCAAGGACTTTGACATATTGTTTTCAGACAATTCATGAAGTTTCAATCCAAATTTTCTAAGAACATTAGTAACATATTGAGCTGTAAGTGTTACTGGGATTGGATAGTAGTGATTTATGTCGGCTTTCATTATTTTATTGGTAAAAGTTACTAAATTGACCAAAGAATTAATGCACGAAGCTGTATCAAAATCAAACTTTAAAGCTTCGAAATTATTCTCTTCAGTTTTCCGCAACTCATCTAATAGTTTATCATGGTATTCACCACACCCAATGCCACTGTTATTGGCATATGCTAAAACATCCTTTAAGAAAAATTTGAACTTATTGAGCACACTTTCAGCAGTCTTCATTACTTCACCACTATATTCCATAGGGTATCTGTAGTTTGACATAAGGCAAGCCATTCTAAAGGTATCTGCAGTATAGTTCTGAAGAAGTTCAGGTATTGTTATCACATTCTTTAAGGACTTAGACATTTTTATATCTTTTAGATTTAAGTGTCCAACATGAATCCAGTAATTGGCCCATTGCCTCGTGTTGTGAAAAGCGCAAGATTGTGCCTCCTCATTCTCGTGGTGTGGAAACTGAAGATCGATACCACCTGCATGAAAGTCTATCTGAGAGCCAAAAACTTTACTAACCATTGCAGAGCACTCGATATGCCATCCCGGTCTTCCCTTACCCCAAGAAGTTTCCCAATAAGGCTCTCCTGGTTTTATCCCTTTCCAAAGGGCAAAATCCATGTTGTTTCTTTTATTAATATTACTTGGTTCACCACTGTCTTGCATATTTTGCAACTTACCATAGGAGGGATACTTGGAGGTATCAAAGTATATAGACCCATCATTAGTAATGTATGCCATATTAGAATCTACAAGTCTTTTTACAAATTCATGTATTGTTTGCATATAGTCTGACACTCTTGTTATTATCATTGGCTTCTCAACATTTAAACTAGTCATATCAAGCCAGAACTCATGTTCATAATTTCTAGCAACTACTCTGAAGTCAGTGTTAGTTTCTTTAGCTTTTTTAATTATTTTATCATCGATATCAGTGATACCCATTGCAGTGACTAGTTTTATATTAAAAAAGGATTGCAAAATTCTTTGTAGGATATCTAGTTTTACATAACAACATGCGTGGCCTATATGAGCCGAATCATAAACTGTAGGGCCGCAAGAATACCATGTAGCGATAGACGGATCATTCAGAATCACAGGAACTTTTTGATCGGCCACACAATTGTATACATAAATACCAATTGGATTTCCATTCGGCATAAACCATTTAGTTTCCTTATATGGTTTTAAACTGCATATATGTGAAAGTTTCCTTGTAAAAACGGGAACTAGTTTTATCATTGTTTTTTTAATCAAAGTCGGCATAAAATGATTTATTACCATTACAAAAGAATACTTGAATTGATTAAATCAGCTGTGATTTGACTGTCAGTGTCAACGTCAAGAACAATACAGATATAGTAAAACATCTAAAGCCCTATTCTAGGTCTTTGAGAGCGGGTGTTCCCCACGGATCGGTACATTCTCCAATTCTCTATTGCCTAAACATTAGCGATATCCCTAGAACTCTTCAGGTCGAGCTGGCACTAAACATGACTAACCCTCTAGGCGACTGATCGCTATAAAAGCCGGATTGTTATCTGCCTACAATCTGAATTAAACGCAATTTTTATAAAAGTGGCGTAAGGAAAGTCAGGTGATTATGATTATTTATAACTGTCATTCGGATTACAACCAAATTGCACCGCGAACTTAATTTTCTAACCCTATCCACCTTATACAAGGAAGCGATAATAAGATAATATTTTAAATGGATAATTAGTCATTCAAGTCCGACAAATTCTTAATCTTTTCAAGAACGAATTGTGAAAAACAATGAAGAGTGATTAAAATAATCCATGTCCATCTCGTTAGCCTTCTAGTGACGTTGTTTAATGTACTCCTCAACAGCTGCACCTTACTATATACTTGGAATGCATGTGTACATGCTATCGGCATGCAATAGCATGCTATTAGCATCCCTAAGCCGAATTAGTAGAGAGTTTTACCGCTTACTTACCGATCCAGTACACTCCATTATGTAGAAAGTTTACGAACATATTATCACAAGGAATAAAAAATGTATTCAATTATAAAATCTAATACTCAATGAGCAGCTCGGCTTGAGAACCGGACAGTTGAGCATTCTTCAAGTATACCACATACTCACAGGGCCCATTCTGTCTAATCGTTACTCTACCCATTCCCTGAACGTGGACTACCAAAACAAAAATACTCTCTTCTGCGAACCAACTTCCGTGAATCTTATGTTTCGTAAATGATTAACTCTCTTTGGTTTATGGTTTTTATAAATTAATTTTGTATACAATTTATGTATACAATCTTTCGTTAAAATTTGAACTCCTATTTTCCCCTTGTGAGTGGAACTGTCCATCTTTCGCTAATGGGGGTCGCGGAGATGCAGCAGAGAGAGTGGACGATATCATCGCATGTTGTTGTCATGCAATAATTACTTTGTTTCTCCTGTGTCCGCTGGTCATTTATCCATGGACGTTTTCCGACCAAGTTATCGAAGATTCAAAGCTGGGATAACAGCAAACTACACTTTGAAAACAAATGTCATAATTTTATTTCTTAGCCTTTTAAAAAAAAAACCGTCAAATGTCAAACCTTGTCATTGTCAAATCAAGTATAATATCAACTGTCATTAAAAATTGCACCTTTTAATTTTAAATTTGTATTGAAAATCGCAAAATGGTTACATTCGGTCCAGATGAGGTAGAATTAGCAGATAAATCGCCATGTGCCGGTGTTAGAGCCGATCTTAAGATGTGTTTGTTAAATAGTAGTTGCTGTAAAGAGGTTAGTTTTTCGTAATTATCATAATACTTGTTTTATGATCACAACATTACCATAGGTCTTTTATTCATCATGTATTATTTAAGGATAAAAAGACTCCACGGGAATGTTTGAAAGATGGTTTAGTCCCTGACGAATGTTTTCAACTTCGGCAATCTTTTTTTGAGTGCAAAAGATCATTGGTAAGTTTGTTATCACTTCAATCAGTTTTTAAATTTTATATAATTATAATCGATTGAGAACAAATGAACTAAAGTGATTAAAATTGTATTTTTATCAAGAGCAAATTCCTACACCTTTTTTTTTTTCTATTTTTGTAGAAATATTTTTTTCCTAGGTGTGGATTATACAAATTACTGGTCGTAATGTATCAAACCTGCAATATTTAATTAAAAATAAGATTTAACCATGATAACTCATTGTCCAGGTGCTCGCTTTTATTTCAATATACTCTAGCAACCTCAGAGGCAACCTTTAGTCAGCACATATAGACTGTTGCTATAATTTTCGATGCAAATTAAAAAAAACAATATTTGATAAATTTTTATAAACCTATGTTTTATCTTGATAAGCAATTTAAATTTCTTGTTTTTAATCATTTTTAATATGTATTATTTGTTTTCCAGCTTGATAATAGAAGAAGATTTAGAGGACACAAAGGTTATTAATGGCAAGAAATAGTTAGTTTGTGCTAAATTAGTCAAGAGTTTATTTGTTAAGGGGTGTTGTAATTTATTTAATCGTGTAAATAAAGGTTTTTTTGTACGAAGTTGTATTTCATTGATTTTTAAAATTTTCTTCCTTACAGTAATTGGTAACAGTGTAACCACAATACAGTTTAATTGATTCTATTAAATATTGGTTCTTTCTTATATTCCCTACTTGGCAAGATTTATTCATGAGAAAAGTACTAAATTTATGAAAAATCATTTCAATATGAGGTATTAATCACTTAAATACAAGCAATAACTAGTTATCCAATTTATTAAATAAAATATAAGATACAATATGAAATCAGTTAAGATCTATAATCAAAACTGTCACCAAAACAGGCAATTTTAGCTGATAGTAGTCATTATGAAAGTGAAACAGAATTTTCAAGGTTTTTTTTATGTGTATATTTACATTATAATCAGAATTAAAAAATGTTAGTTTTATATTCACTTAGTTTTATTTCAACATACATAAATAAAAGTTAAAAAATGTTGATTTCAAACAATCAAAAATTTAAATGTACGAATGTAGCAAGTGGGTAGGCGGTTCAAATGATGTTAAGGGACGCAACGCATGTACGCCCTCGCTGGGTCAAGGGCGGCTTATGTAAGACTCGCACCGACTAAGACCCGCACGATGTTCCACATAGAGCGCATATTGACAGGGTTACGGGAACGCTTTCACATACTTCGGCGGCGCTGCCAGCGCTCGCTGCGTCCTTCAACGGGGATGCGAGCCTCAGCAATCCCTCAATGGGAGTTCCCCCTCACCTGTAGGTAAAACGCGCTGGAATTTAGCTCTTTTGTACGGGCAACGTGGGGCCGCGTGGTGGACTATGCCCTGATACCCTCTGTATAGAGGAGGCCTTTGCCCAGCAGTGGGACATGTGTAGGCTGTTACTGTACGGGCAACGGACTCGCCAACCCACTGCGCAGAGGCGGTGAGAGCGCACCCACCAGGCGAAGTCTAGGACTAAAAATACTTGCGTTTAGTTCATTCACCTATGAGGTACAATGTAATAACCACACCCATTGCATTTATACACATTTTGATTGCCATTATCTCAATTTGAAATACCCCAGGAGTTTCAAATAAAACGCTTTAATATTTTTTTTTTCTTTATTACAAAAATAAATTAAAAATTCGTTTGTCCAACGTCGGAGCTTAGCCCATAAATAATACTAGCTTTTTAAGCTTACCAATGCGCTTTAACTAGCCTTACTCTTAAACTCTAAATTCGTACATTATGTACACATTTCAATGCAATTTAATCCATAACGAAATTAAATCGGCAGTGCCATTATTTTGAATAAGTGAACTTTAACATTTTATGATTATAACCTAATTTATTTACTGTTGTGCATATAAAGATTAATTTTTCGTTGTCAATCCTTCAAATGCATCAACTGTAACATATTTATTAGAACATAATCTTTATTTAAAACTTGACTTAGAATGATAAGAAATGAGAATAATTAACTTTTTATTATTTGAACGTGGTATCATTAGTGTAAGTTAACCAAGGAAAATAAAACTAGTCAATAAAAGATTAAGCGTTGGGTGGTCACTTTCTATGGTATATTAAACAAGTTTTAATCCGTGATCTTATAGCTCCTAACAATATGAGTCACAGCTTATTGAGCAAATAAAAGATTAAATAATGGAGGTGGCCCGTGGAGCGGGCAGCCCAAACATTAAAAAGTCCGAATTTCTTTATTGGAAATTTTCTCGTCTTTAAGAATCTTTTTTTTAATTTAATGGCAAATGGACCTTAAAAATTTATAGTTTTTGAGTTGACGAAAATCTAAATGCCTATTTTTTCCCCATCTGTAATTATTATCAATGTTAATTTAATATGGAAAAGTTGTTATAAATAGAGTATAAGTAACCAAAATAAATTTCCCAACATCATTCTGGATTCAATGAGCTCATATAAGCTATATATAAGCATAGAGCTATATCTCATATTATTGGGAGCTTTATCACTACACGAATTTGCACTTGTTGACTAGACTACTACTATTAGAAATAGGTTGACATGCAGTCTGTTGGTGCCGTCAAGAGGCGTGGCAATTGATAGAATTCGAATTAGTTTATCAGCAGTGCTGTCGAATGTTAACAAATTTAAGAGTAACTCGTAAGAACTTTTGCTCTGAAATCAATACTTAATGTGGAGTAAGGAAGGTCTCTTGCTCATTTTGTTAACTCCAGGATCAATCGTGCACTCTCAACTTAAGTTCAAATTAAATAGAACAGTTATTATAAGGTTTATAATTATATGTTACCGAATTTTGAGTTTTACTAAAATTGGAGCTATAAAAATAAAATGATTTTTAAACTAATAAAAATTTTGTAAACTGAATGTTAGAAATTTTTTAAATTATCATCGATACATTGTCAAAAAGCTGTTTACATTTTTATGCGTGTCTACGTTCGCAGTATGTTAAATTTAATTATTTGCGTATTTAAGAGTATTTGCGTGAAGAGACCGAAAGGTGTAACAGGAAGTAGCGAGAAGCATTCGACCAATTTAAGGATATGCGGCCATTAAATTTTTTAAGTCAATGGTATGTTCTAAGATTTAAAACATCAGACATATAAATTAACAAATTTGAAATCTATTTTAAAAATAAGGTTAAGTTATTATAAAACAATATTTTAAATATGGTTGAAACGTCTAAATCTAAAAATGTACTTAAATTAAGTTCAGTTATATAACTTAAAAGTGCTTATCCTGAGAATCCTTATTAGTACCTACTAGGTTCTTAAAAATGTGATTTAATAGCTGAGTATATCTTAGTACAGAGATGATTATGTGTGGTGTTATGCCATTTATTACGGGCATAGAATCTCGCTGAGGACCAAAGCATTTTGAAATTTCTCCTTCGTGTTTAATATACAGCGTGTCGTTACCATCGCGACAATAAATGAACACACATATAGAGGATAACTTTTTAAAATTGTATTAAACATTTACATTCTTGAAACATCAATATTTACCGAGTTATTAAATTTTCCAAAACAAACAATTTTAGAACACCTTACGTATAAAACTGTAACGTAAAGTTCATTTGTAAAGGTCACAAAGCATATGAATGGGTTGAATGAATTTAAAATTTTATTTACATTCTACATGTACATTTTATATAACTATTTACCGGCCTTTAGATCTTATCCATGAAAAAGCAATAAACAACGTTGGTTAATAATCGCTGATATATTTCTTTATGGATAATTCAAGGCTTATATCGTGCCAATTTTTCATATATATAAATCTGCTCATTATTATTTTGAATATAGAATTATAACATTAACTAGAACACGAAATTATACATTTAGGCGTGATTATTGCTACATATTTCGTAATGTACAAAGGATGCAAATGAAAACTGAAATTGGTACCATAAACTGAAATGTTGATATGTACCCTGGATATGTCTATATAATAAAAATAAATCCAATATATAATTTATTATGTGTTTATTTCATAATTGGAAGACGTTATAAACGTATAAATTTATAAAATAAGTTTAGCGCTTTTTGTTCCGTCTATGTTATTTTATTAGTATTATATAGTTCTTCCATAGACTTACCTTAGCTTTATTATGTTAGTAACAATATTAATGACGGTAAATTAAGTTTTCTAGTTTTTTCAATTGTTGATAGATTTAGTCTATGTAATAATACGGTAACATAACAACGGTAATTTGAATTGTATGATGAATGTGTCACAATCGCAAAGATTGAATCAATAAAATCATTAATAATAATAAAACGGTGGTAGGGCCACGCAGCAGCCTCGGCAGTTGCACGAATGGGCGAGCCCGTCCGGGTAAGTACCACGACCTCACAGAAGACCAGCGTAAAGTGGAAGCGTGACAAATACTTTCGCGTTTCGTCTGGTGAGTGAGGTAGCCGGAGCTCAATTTTCAAAAGGTTGTCAACGTATCTGTAACCGTCGGGTGTGGCAGATATCCGTGGGTGGCGGTATTCACTTAACATCAGGTGAACCGTCTGCTCGTTTGACAACTTTTCGTATAAAACAAAAAATAAAAAATAATAAAATAAAGGGTACCAGTTTATAGAGTCGAGTTGTTGTTATGTGTGTAGTGCGTAGTCAATAATTAAAGTAAAAATAGCATCGAGTTTAATTTAAGGACAAAGTGTTGTTATTAAGGGATCAATGCAAAATACCTCTTATACTCTATGGCATAGTCCCAGCTTCCTATATGCATTGTTTTTAATTTCTCTTCTTTGTTGATCCAAGACGAATGGTATATGTATGAATTATTGAGGTACGTTTGTTTTCATCGATAAGTATGGATGTTTGCTCGAGCGAAATTTGTACTTATTTGTAAATTTAACCTATAATTTTAATACTACAAGCTTATTTAGATTAAAAATTGCTTATTTACCTAGTTTCCGTTATTTAAGAACACGACTTGTTTCGGTAATTGATCACGCAAACGCAACTTAGGCCATGCCAAAAATATCCGAACGTTCATCGCAGCCCATTCTTTGGCAAATGTACTTAACCTTGATGTGAAAAAGGTAATGTCTACATGCAAGTTTCTATTGTTTTCATTTATGAGTTAATAAAATAAATGCAAATACATTTGCCTTATTAATTCATAAAAAGAAAACATCTGACATTAATCACGAGAATATTTTTTTAATCTGTAAACAACGATAAAATAATTGACTTTGCGCGCTTTTTAATTTACTTTTTAAAATATAGTTTTCTTTGGCACTGCTTGCTGATTGGTTATGTTGCAACGGTTCTGTGAGGTGAATATATATTTATGTAACCAATACATATTTAAAGGATATTTTTAGCATTAACCTTTGTGGACGATAAATACTCTATAATTATTAAAGACTTTGGTCCATTTCTCACAACTTGTGCTGATGTTGGCCAAGTGTATACGCGTTGTTGGTCCGAACATCAGGTTTTACCTAAATAAAATAATTCAAAACAATTTCTTATAACAATTCCTCGCACTTTGTAACGCAGAACAACATTTCTATCATTTTTAACATAAACTTTTCAACATTCGGCTGAATTGGGCAATGTTTTGTTCGTTCAAGCGATAATTACCACTTATTTTAATAGAGTTGAAAAACTTCGCGAAGTGTGTAAGAAACAATTAACGGGTATACCTTACAATTAAATTATTGCGATTAGATATTTTTAAGTGTAAACGACGGGCGTGATCGCATTTTTAGATCAATTATCTAGCAATTGCGGGGTAAATATGAACGAGGCCTTTACTAGAACGTCTGTATCGGCTTGTAGAGTCCCGTGTAGCCGCAGAGTCGCGCCCTCAGAGCGGTGACCAGCATGGCGGCGCCGGACAAGTCGTCCAACAAGTTGGCGCACTCGCACACCAACAGGTACATCTTGTCGCCGTGCGTCGCCACCGACTTGTGGAGCGCTATCTTCCTCATGCCCACCGTGTGCGGCAGATGCCTGTACAGCATCCGCGCCCCGGTCCAGTACAGCCAGTTCCTCTCGAAGCGCTCCCCGTCGTCGCCTTCGAACACCTGGAGTTGACGAGTCTAAGTTAGTCCTAATACACAATTACTGATCTGAAATTAGAAAAAAGTCAAATTTTTTTTTTGTTAACAAGACATTGTCCTCACTATGGGATAACGTTTTAACGTACATAAATTTCGACACACAAAATACATAAATTTCGAAACAACTATCTGTGGGTCACACAAATAGTAGTCCCGTGTGGGAATCGAACCCACGGCCCCCGACACCGAAGCCAATACCTTGACGACTGTGCCACGGAGTCACCACGGTTCACAAATTACTTGTATTTAAAGTGTTAGAATGTTATCGCCCATTCGCTTCGCCGTCGGGAATCCCGCTTGGGAATCGACCCAAGCGGGACAAGTATTTGTATGACCCACAAATAGATGTTCCGGATCTGGGCGTTTATTTCCCAAGGAGGGTTGACAGGCGGTCCAGCAAAAAAAACAGCCAAAACTGCTTACAACACGATTCTCGTGTACCGAACCCACCTAGGTTGGCATAAAGGTAGGAAGATGATGATGTGTACAATGTCGCACATGAACATTTACGCCACATATATCGGTGCAGATGCGTTGCCAATGTTTAAAGGAATGGTACAACCAATAATATTTTAATAGACTCCGCATTTCCATACTGCGTAGCGTTTTAAAATTGTTCCGCTTTACAATATATGACATATATAAAACTAAATGTGGCAGATGGTAAAGTACATATGCTATGCATATCTAATTACACAAATTGGCGTACTTTGAGTCCTTCAGATTCTGTGCACTAGTGAAATATCTACCTTGTATTTGTATATAATATCATTGGGTACACCGGCTGCGTTGCCGCAAAGCAATTGCAACGGCGCTGCAGAAGCTTTGCCAACTTTTGAAAAAGTGGGCCCTGCTTACCTCACCCGACGAAATCCGGAAGTACCTACAATACTTTCACTTCACGCTAATCTTCGTAAGGCCGTAGAAGCCTAATATTGTGCAATAGCAAAGACCGGTGGATTTCTTTAGCAAATCGAAAATATGTTTAATTGTTTACCTAATCAGATGAATTATATAAGAACAAATGCTTCCGTTCTTTTTCTGAATCCCCCTTGCTATAATATATGCAACACAGCGAATATCAAATATAAGTTATTTGCTATGCTAGAATCAATACCAAAGTCTTGTATTTCTTTTGCTCCAAAAACTAATTTCTAATCCAAAAAGAGTTGCCATAAGGGTCCAAACTTATCGTACTCAAGATTGAATTTAATACAAACTAGCTAATGTCCAGAATGTGTCGCTTGGTCTCTCAACTCTTTGTATTTTTCTTTAACAGTCCAGAAATCTTAACCGATCTGTTTTTAACGCAATTAAAGAGTAATACAGCCGGGAAGAATAAAAACTTATTTAACAATACACAGACGTAAAAGTGGGTTATTTCCAAGTCAACATTAGGAGATGTAGTGAACTTATCCATTGCTCTCACCTTATAAACGCTTATAATGAAGCCGGTGGTAGGCGTGTGCGATTTCTTCGGCCCGCCGGCCAAGTCGTTGAACGGGGGCCGGCATATCATCGCCACCTCGCTGTACAGGTCCAGCGTGTGGGCCGCCGAGTACCTTATCGTCTTCGGGTCGAACTTCGTCAGGGACGCGCCCCTCAGGTTGTTGTAGAACATCAGCGGGTCGGTCTGCGTCGTGTTTATCACGTAGTACGATATGAACGGGAATTCGGAGTTCTTCTCCATGTTCGCCAACAGCATCCCGCCGACCGCCGTGTTCGCTTGTGCCACGTCGCTCAGCAGTTCGCTGGCAGCTGTCCTCTGTTTCATCAGCGGCTTCGCTAGCGGCGACTCTAATATCGGCTCTATCGGCTCCAGCGGGCTCATTAGGTGCGCTAGTATGCACAGCTTCGGGTCCGCTATCTCGAGGATGCTGAGCGAGTTCTGCGCTTTGGTCGCTGGGCCCTTTTCTGGCGTTGGCGGTGGCACTGGCAACTGTAATAGAAATATTGGGAACGTGTGTAATGATTATGATAGAGACGAATTAAAATTGTGGTTAGAGAATTAAATAGTTTTACTTTGTAACGTGACTAAATATAGATATGTGATAATTATATGTTATTGGGCAAGCTGGTTAAAAAAATTTTTGTTTCTTGCACTCCTGAAATTATGAAACAAGCGCCCACGATTAAATGATATATTCTATAGAGGCCTAGAATCTGAATATTTCTATACTCTCTCAGTTTAAATTTTTGAAGTACCATGATCTCTTAAGGTTCATGGCATATTTTGTGATAGCGGTAAAATATTGATTTTGTCTAAGAAATCAATGTAATTGACATCGCATCTATTAATACCTGCAACCTATAAGCTGCAGATAGGATCCTAATCCGTAAGTAGTTAGATCTTCCGATGTATCACTTATTAATGAAACGCGATGTAATACATCCCCAGTGAAGTTGGCCAATAACGCAACGGCTTCACAGTGGTTGCCCTAGGGAAAATGAAGAGTAAACCTTTAATACTTTCAGACTTACGTATTGTTTAACTTACTGATTAGCTGCTCGTGCATTTATTTTAATTTGGATTCCGCAATGACTGGCCGTAATACAATCGGAGGGGAAATTAAAAAGATACGCACCGGCACGCCCTCTGGCAGGAACCTGTCAAGCGCGTGCGCCGGTATGACGAAGCAGTCCCTCTCGAGTGTTGCCAGGGACACCGGCTCGGTGCGCCTGCGCTCCGTCGCCGGCCGCTCCCACCGCATCAGCGACACCGACGGCTCCCTGTTGACGAGCGGCTGCGGCGGCTCCGGGTCGCTGCCCGTCATGCCGCCTAGCACCGGCCCGCATCTCTCTGGAACGTTCGGTGACCTCTCAGTATAACGCTTGGCGGCTTCTGGAAGGTTCGGTGCGGATAGCGTTACAATCGAAGCTTAGGAAATTATACAGCATGTAGAGCTGAAGTTAAGGAACTGTCTGGGTGCGACGAATGTATGTTACGCGTGACAGATATGGTCGGCACATAGTTTACGCTTGATGGTACTTTGTGTAGAGAATGGAGTTTTTGTATTGACCTAAATAGATTTAACCTCATTTACTGTAGGTTATAAAACAGTTAGACTATTTTACAACCTCACTGGTATACAATGAAGAAACAGTAAGATAGGATCTTTACTTGCGGACGTACATTCGCTCGAATACCAACAGAAAAGATAAAAGTAAAATGAAGAAATAACTGAGAGCTTCTGTTACACAAAACACCAGAACCAAAGATATCTTGTTAACTTTTCAATCTCTTAGTGATATAGATGAAAGAGTGATTATAGGTGATTTAACTGATTTTCTAGGAATTTAATACATCGGTAATCGACGGGTTCTTACAAACAGAGTCTGATGGTTTAAAAATAATGCGCTAGTGGACATTTTGTAACATTCTTTGCGTCGTCAAAGAACCTATGGAGACTTCGGGCAATTGTCTTTGTCCTCAATAGGTTTAATTTTAGTAATGTTTTTACAACAATTCTTCGTAGACTCGTGTATAATGATTTTAATTACACCATCATATAAATAAACGAGTAAGAAAATAGCTGTAACCTAAATATGATATCAAATCTGGAATTTTTTCATCAATTTGAAGTTCCTGTTAGCGGTTTAACTTGACACTTAAGCTCGCGGCTCAGTCAATATACGTCTTCGTAATATGCTAGTAATGATTTATATATGTTTATTTACATATGTATCCTAATACTAATATCTAAGCTGTATTAGATTCTTTTCCCAGCAAAAGTGTCACAGAAAAAGGCAAAAATGGGCTTCTACAAATTATATTCGTTATATTTTTCGATACGATGATTTCAACACTGTTCAATATAATTTTTTAATAATTAATTTTATTAATCGACAAAAACAAAATGAAGCCTACATAATTTTGTTTTTGTTAACTTTTCAGAACAGCCGACCGCTATATTGCAAGACTTAAAGAGTTCTAACATCGTTAAAAATTGAAAATGATACATCATAAAAGTTTATGTTAGTAGTGTGTAAAATACGTGAATATATAACAGCAGTTAAAACCCGAGTCAGTTGGTTCTTAATGACAGTTAGTAGTAATATTGTTATCATTGGCGTGTGAAGCGAGCCGCTTATATGAGCTCTGCCAGTCACTAGTATTTATAGATTCGGTACAGACCCCGCGCTCAATTCGGAGTTGTTAACGATATTAACTAATCGGAAAACTGCTTAAATAATGCTAGCAATAGGAGAAACTTCTAATACGTAAAGATAAAAGCTTTGATAGATATAACACTTAAACACATTCCGACGTAAAAATTTTAATAAATGTAATTATGCAGTCATGGTATTATATTGAAATGTTAAATGATTTAATCAGTTAAAAATGACATGAATCATGAAGAGGCAATTTCCTTGAAGATTGTTAATGTTAAGAATTTTTAATCCTAAAAAGATGATAATTTCATTGAGATTATAAAGAATAAAAATACATTAAATGTCATTACTTTTAAACGTTACACCACTCAAAAAATTGCAATTCGTTCAAAAAAGAAAACAAAGGAAACAATGAGAAAATAAGCCTTCAAGTTTTACGACACGATATCATTAACGAGACGTCATCGCGAATCGCGCAGCGGTAAATAAACATTCGGGCACACAAAGTCGCGAGGGAAGCGCAAGGGATTGCGTCGCAACGAACGCAATTCCGCGACCAGTTTACCTGAGCCGTCGTTATACTGCGCGCTGGACCTTGGCGCCGAGAAGAAAAGGTGGGTCCTGTAGTGGTGTTCTTCCATGCAGGAGAATCTGTCGCGGTCACGCCGCTTCGCGTTCCTGCCAGCGCCGAGAGCCCCCTTCGCCTTGCCCCCGCCGCCGCCCCCCCCGCCGCTCGCCTTCTCCCCACTGAAGTTCTTCCGGAACATCAGATTCATCTTGGAAGCTTGCCACGTGCCGTCTCCCTCGCACGCGCAGAATGTTTTGTCTGACAGCTAATTAGTGCTCCGGCGGAATTAAGGCCCACGACACACTTGCACTTTCGAGGCGAATTCGCTTCAACCGATAGGTCCGAATAATTAGTGTACCGACGAAGTTTCGAGCGCTTTTACATGTTCACTTTTGGCGGGAATTCGCGCCGCTTCGTTGCCGTGAAATAGTTGCTATAGTTAAATATGTGGTAACGCTTGTAACAAACATGGAGCCGTAAAGTCCACAATACTATCTTTATTTCCTAGTACATTACATTTCTACAAATAATCGTATAAAATTAACATTTAAATGTGGGAAGGAAAGTTAAGAAATAAGTTCATGTAAAGCTAGACTGGCAGGAGGCTGGTCTCATCTAGGTGGGATAAGGGCAGGATGATGATGATGATCTAAAGCTTTACTGGGCCCCTTAATAAAATTTGATTACAGAAAAAAAATACAATCTTATGGAACTTTACTAATGTTGCAAAGTATAGGGAACTTCATGGAACAGAACGAAGAGAAATTCGAGATTCTTGCTACCGGTATAAGTGTGAATATCTTGAAAACCTTAATGATAAACAGGATGCCTTCAGCTTAAGGGTCATAGAACGGCCGAAGAAATCTACTAGTGGACGACTTTCTGAGTTCGCGTGGAAAAAAAGTCACATTTCAAAGAAATGTTCAAGGTTATCTAATGCTTTCAACAAACGAATCATCGTAAAGATGTCTCTTAAATGGGATAATTGTTTGTGATAACTTCTCGTCTATTCTGTACTCTATACTTCTGACAGTTCGTAGACTAAACCGCTTTTATAATAAAATTTTATACTATTAAATTATATACTGCAACTGTATGTATAATTATTAAATTATCTTTATTCTTTAACTTTGTGGTGGTAAATTTTTATAACAGCCCTTCCATCGACAATACCGACTAATTGTATGAACGTATTGGTATTGGTATTGTTCATAGAAGTGATGGTCTCGATTCCTTAGTTATTTTTTTTGACTTTCCCATATATTTGCGTTAAAATTCATGTAACATTCACGATGGTCGCTCGCTCCGGAGTTAATTTAAATCGGGCGCGGTAAGAATTGATCGCTTCGATTATATTCAAGAGCTCCTTACGGTGAACTCTGGCTTGGTTCGAACAGTTGTAATTATTCGATCCTCTACCATAAATAATTCAGGGCCGCACTAATCGATCTGGTTCCTCAGTCATGGCCGTGAACTCATCGCGAAACGAGTGGTATTGAAATTGTACGTCATTATGGGAAAACAGCAAAAGTAAAGTAAACTAACAGTATATGTATTATCACGTGCCCAGTGGTGAAGGAGAACATCGTGAGGAAACCTGCATATTTTCGAAGTAATAACAAAAAAAAATATTTCGAAGAAATGTGAAGTCCGCCAATCCGCAGTGGGGCCGCGAGGTGGACTATGCCCTGATGCCCTCTGTACAGAGGAGGCCTTTGCCCAGCAGTGGGACATGTATAGGCTGATACTTTACCTTTTACTATATGTATACAAGTCCCACAGCTGGACAAAGGTTTCCTCTATATGGTTATTACGTAGGTAATTCAAATATTATAATAACTTTAAAAGCGGAGATGAAATGTGTTTTTCTAAAAGCTTTTATTTAACTTGCAACGTTTCTATGTACTCGTATGCATGTTCGGATGAAATTTTGCAACTGAATTTTAAAGCAGTTATCCTAAACCGATTGAGAATTTAATTAGTATGTTTAGAACTCTGAGCATAATAAGTTAAAAGTGGTTCAGATCAACTCTTTTATTGTTCATATAAATTTTTATTACGGGATATAATTATGTATTGTAATAATTGGTTTTGAACTTTAACAAGCAGCGAAAGTAAAATTAATTAAATTAGTGTGCTGTACATGTTTGTGGTTCGACATTTTTGGCTTTGTAAATAAATCAGGGAACTGCAGTGGCTTAGGAATTGCTGGTCGTACATAGAGATGCCTCCAGTTAGATAATAGCTACCGATCGAGCCGAGGTCCGGCCCTCTCGGGCACCCTCGAATCGGAATGCTAAACGCGTACTGAGTGACAGCCCAAGCCGAGGTCCCCTCTCGGGGACCCTTGAGCCTGATAACTCCATGGAGCGCCCGTCAAAGCGCCCTAAGAGCTTGGCGGCCTCCCAAACCGGTAATAATAATAGCGTGACGGCCCGAGCCGTGGCTCCCCCGGGAGCCCTCGAGCTTAGTCACCATAACGCGTAATAATAGTACGCCGAGGTTCAGGCTAGACGCCTCGTGCGCCAGGCCACCTCAAGTCCGTCGGATCTGTAAAGGCCCCTAAGGCCAACAGTGGCTCATCCAGCCCAAAAAAAAAAAAAAAAAAAAAACATAGAGATGCCGATCGAAAAGATTGCACGTAACAAATATAAGAATTTAATTTAAATTTGTAATAGAGGTAATAGTGTCATTTCTTTTCCCAATCGGGTAGTATTTTGACTATAAATGAGTGTAATGCTCCGATGTTGAATAAAGACATTTAAATTTCAATTTGTTTATAGTTGATTAAACTGCAGCCCGAATTTCACAAGTGGTAGTTTGCAACAACCATGAACCACAACGCGTATAAAATTATAAGGAAAGCATCCATTAAAATGCATAAATATAATATGGTTCGTGCCTACTGGATTCTACAGAGCCACTACTAAGAACCTGTTTTACTTTACCGGCACGAAAAGCTCTTTACTCGACGCGAGGGAAAACATTTTTATACGAATTTCTTAATGCTCAAGTTATTACGTTCAAAAGAGGCGTCCGGCCTACATATTTTCTTCACTGTTTGAAAAAAAAAAAAGTGTTATAATTAAAGTCGTTAAAAGGAAAAGGTTTTAAAATTTCAATTAATTTCATGTTTAAATTAATAAACATGACGTCAAAGATGACTCGTTAGCTCAGTCGCTAAACTATCGGCTTCGACGTCGGGAATCGTGGGTTCTGGGATAGTATTCCCGTGTCGGGCAGGCGGCCGATTATAATAAAACTAAACAACATAATTTCCGTCATGTTATGCCCCTCGTAAGTGGGATAAGAGCAGGAGATATTTACAAGAATAACCAAAGAAAAACACGATTCCGACGTATTGAAGAGAAGATTCAATTTAGATTATAAAAGATTAGTCACGAAAGCAATCTTTCAAGGGGATTTTGAAATTGTTTTCAATTTCATGCCTTAATAAAGTTCCGTTTGGCATATTATGATCGCCTTATAATCGGGTTTTCCATACAGGACTAACTGTATGGAGAAATAGATGCTTAAGAGTACAGCTTATGAGATTTACATTTAAGCCACATCTGATTTGTGGTAGGGTGACAGCCTCGGCTGTTGCACGAATGGGCAGGCTCGTTCGGGTAAGTACCACGACCTCACAGAAGACTGGCGTGAAGTGGAAGTAAAATACTTTCGCGTTTCGTCAGGCGCGTGAGGTAGTCGGAGCCCAATTTTCAAAAGGTTGTCAACTCATCTGGAGCCCTCGGGTGTACCGTCGTAGAGCAACATTATTTTTACCGTCGTAGAGCAACATCAGTTAAATTAGCTCCTACAGCACCAATACTTGCCGACTTTGGAAGACAGATTACGATGGATTACAGATACAGACCTATCCGAAACAATTATCTGTGGTTTATATAAATACATAGCTGTCTCGTGTGGGGGTTCGAAACCCACGACCCCGGCACTGCAAGCCGCAACTGTCCCACTATGGTCCCATGGATATTTAACCAAACCCAACGCAGAAAGAATTTTTAAAATCGGTTTACAATGACAGAGTGGACCTTTTTCCAAGTTGGTTGTAAAAGCAAAATTTGCTGAACGACTTTATGCATATAAAAAGGCGCGAAAAGTATTCTCTTAACCTGACATTTATTTTGAAAAACTATCGGGTATTCGTTGCGTGATACAAGTATGTGACCTTAAGTGACGCCATATCACGCTATATAAATTTCCACGATAAGATCAAATCCACCCTAAATGTTATATGCAGCCCTTTAAGAATAACCCCGTTGTTTTCTGGCTCATTAGCTGCCCAATTTGGCCGCGTAAATGGCAACATTTGGCCCAATTGTTCACTTCTACGTATAGGCAACACCTAAAACTTATTGTGAGTGTCTTTATGTTAACTTGCGTATCGTCATATTTCATATATACACAGAAAGTTTCAGTAGGAAAAAATATTGCCATACTTTTTTTTCTCTAAAAAGACACTGCTTTTACTGAAGGATAACTATAACATATTCAAGTGGACAAACACCCAGATCCGAAACGATTATCTGTGTCACACAAATGGTTGTCTCTGGTGGAAACCGAACCCACTACCCCAAAGACAATAGCATGGCAACTGCGCCACGGAGTCATCAATATTTGTATTCTTATGCTTTAAGAGAAAATAGTCCGACACTTCCATTTGTAATATTATAATTTAGTATTTTTTTCCTTGTCTCCTCCTGTTGTCAAGGTTCTTTTTATCGTATTTTTTTCTAATGTCATATTTTTCAGTAGTTTGCTGTTGCATGAATCGGCAGGTCCGTTCGAAAAATTACTACGACCTCACAGAAGTAGTGAAGTGGTACGCGTATGTGTACTTCTGCGTTTCGTTTGGTGAGTGAGGTAAGTACGACGGGTGAGTACCACAGAGGACAAATATTTTCGCGTTTCGTCTGGTGAGTGAGGTAGCCGGAGACCAGTTTTCAAAAGGTTGTCAACGCATCTGTAACCCTCAGGTGTAGCATGGCCATGGGCGGCGGTATTTACTTACCATCGGGTGAATAGTCTGCTCGTTTGGCAACTTTTCACTTGAAAAAAAAAAAGGTAACCGGAGCCCACATTATTAGAAGGTGGCAACGGTGGCATTGGAAATATTTATTTTATTTATTTATTTATTTGACGTGAAATATACTACAGATGTTGAAAATGTCCATGGGCGGCGGTTAT